CCACTTAGTTTCCTTGTGTGTTTCGGTTCTGATGCACTTTTTTTTTTTCTTACAGATAGATTAAGAGATGAGAGTTATTTGATCTCAAAATATGTGTGATGGATTGTTTGAGAGGGCATTCAGATGACAGTAATTTCTGAATTATCCTAAAACAGAGGGTTGTTTAGCAGGCTGGACAGTAGAACTTGCTATCCTGCTCAAAGGGGCATCCTGGAGTTGTTTTTCCTTGGAATTAATACTATGGTTTGCACTGAATTCCACCACATAACATGAACTGTGGTTCTACAAACAGTCTAAGGCAGGATAAGTACTGAAGAGATGAGGAGTGCAAGTTGGTTATTTTTTTTGCTAACTTCTTGGTTTCAGCACAAGGGTTATGTGCCAGAGATGCACATACTTCACCTACAGTTATAAAGCACTGTTTACTTTTTTTTTGTGCAAACACAAAAGCCAAGTGGGAAGGGATATTTCATAAACTCAGTGCTATTGTGTCCTCTGGTCTAAGCCATAAAACAAGAGTAACAGAGACATTCCCTTTGAACTTGAAATCCTTTTCTAAGCTGCTGATCTAACCTAAGTGAGAGGGGGAGGCTATACCAGCCAGAAAATTTCTCTTCTGGGTATTTTTCCCGTCCTGCCCCTTTTCTTTTTTAAACGTCCTTAAGTGAGTTTGATACTGCACCTCTGCCCATAAATTTAAAAAAATATTATCGTAATGTAGGTCAGTGAACTGAAACGCCACTGTACACCATGGGGGATTAAAGTCAGAGAGGCAGCCCTCTCCCACTCCTACTAGGTCATATGACAATATAAACAAGAAATGCAAGGAGCCTTCAGCTTTTTCTTGCCCTAATCCTTTGTTTATGCAGCACTTAAACTGACTTTTGGGGTCGTCTCTGTCTGGCATTAAAGCCCTAAAGCTTTTTGAAGTTTCCCTGAAGTTAATAAAATTAGTCTGCCCTCATTGCTAGGCCCCTTGCTGCTGCTTCAGAGCAGACTGCGGATCCCTTACTGTCTTTGTGGCATTTGGCTTTGTAAGTTTGTAATATTTTATACCAAAAGAAGGAGTGTTTGAGAGAAAAGCAGAAAGCTCTCCCGAAAGGCTGTTCAGCTAATAGGCAAAGTGATTGCCATTGTAGATGTTCTGAGAACTCAAAGGGGATTAACTTAAAATCCCACGATTGGAGGTAAATTGCTGGTAAAGTAATTGGAAGTGTTGAGTTTCAGTTAGAGAGAGCAACGTGCGTTTCTTTCCCTTTTTACAAAGCAAAGCTAAACCAAGAAATATAATTTTTCTTTTTCTTTTATTATTTTCTAATGCAATCCTTAAGTTGAGAAAATGAGCTTTCCTTCATAGCAATTCTCTGCTACACTCATTTATTTTAATGCAAAGACTGATCCAGTTATCTTAGATCCTGTTAGGACAGGCACTCTCTAGTTATTTTGTCTTTGTCAGGGATAAATTGGTGATAGGCTCACAGAAGGGCATGGATGGCACAGGATGGGGTGTGTAGTATTTAGTGTGTGAGACAGATACTTCAGGTCATAGAGGTTTTATTCCAAACAGCCAGTCAGGCAAGTCACTGATCACTTACTATCTCAGCACCACTAAAGTGGTTTTGTTTCTAATGGCCTGTAGAGATTCCTTGGGCATCATGGTGATACCTACAGAATGTATTCACTGGTTAAAGGAGGGATTTTTTTTTTTAAACAAGTTAAGAACTGGCTGGATGGCCAAGCCCAGAGAGTGGTGGTGAACGATGCTGCTTCCAGCTGGCAGCCAGTCACAGTGGTGCCCCTCAGGGCTCTGTGCTGGGGCCAGTTCTGTTCAATGTTTTCACTGATGACATAGATGAGGGGATCGAGCCTATCATTGGTAAATTTGCAGATGACACTAAGCTGGGAGCACATGTCCATCTGTTGGAGGGTAGGAGGGCTCTGCAGGGAGACCTGGAATGGTTGGATGGATGGGCAGAGTCCAATAAGATGAAGTTTAATAAGTCCAAGTGCTGAGTGCTGCATTTTGGCCACAATAACCCCCTGCAATGCTCTAGGCTGGGGATGGTGTGGCTGGACAGTGCCCAGGCAGAAAAGAACCTGGGAGTACTGGTCAACATCTGACTGAGCATGAGCCAGCAGTGTGCCCTGCTGGCCAAGAAGGGCACCCTGGCCTGTGTCAGGAACAGTGTGGCCAGCAGGAGCAGGGAGGTCATTCTGCCCTGTACTTGGCACTGGTGAGGCTGCACCTTGTTCTGGGTCCCTCAGCGTGGGAAGGACCTTGAGACATTTGAGCAATCCAGAGGAGGGGGCAACAAGGCTGGTGAACGACTGAGGGAGCTGGGGGTGCTCAGCCTGGAGAAAAGGAGACTCTGATGTGACCTTACCACTCTCTACAACTCCCTGAAAGGTGGCTGTAGTCAGGTGGGGTTGGTCTCTTTCTCCAGGCAGCACTGACAGAACCAGAGGACACCGTCTTAAGCTGTGCCATGGGAAATACAGGTTGGATATTAGGAAAAGGTTTTTTACAGAAAGGGTGGTAAAGTACTGGAATGGTCTGCCCAGGGAGGTGGTGGAGTCACCATCCTTGGGATGTGTTTAAAAAAGGACTGAATGTGGCACTTGGTGCCATGGTTTAGTTGAGGTGTTGGGGCATGACTTGGACTCAATCTTAGAGGTCTGTTCCAACCTTGTGATTCTGTGGCCATTAGAGTGAAAAGAACAGTGCAGCTGGAGTCCTTGGTTACTCTCCTAAACTGAATGTACAAGAGCAAGACCCTAAAAAGCACCTTTTAATTCAAAGGTTTTGAGTGAATGTGGCATAACTAAATGCTGATAGAGTTTGTTTCTGTTCTAATACTCCAATAAAGGTTATCATTGCTGGTTTACTCTAAGGTGCTTGATGCCTGTAACACTTGTTCACAAAAGTCACTGGAGTTTTTTCTGACAGCCTTGCTGGGGAGGCTCTAAACTGAGCCATGCTAGCCTAGTATGATTGCTCATCCTGTAATTCCATTTTTAATTAAGTTAAAGATAACTTTGAAGTGCTCTTGGAAAAATAAAAGATGTTTAGAAAGATGTTGGCCTTTCAAGTTGGCTTCCTGTGCCATTTGAGGGATAACTGCAAAAATAATAGATATATTAGAGATCCTCCCTGGAGCATTTTGTACCATCTGTATTTCAAACACAGGGGAAAGAAACACTACCCAGCAGTGGACAAGAGGGATGAACAGTTTTGAAATTCTTGTTTTAGGAATAAAAGATTTATAGGATGAAGTAACATTTTAATTTCTCCAGCCACTGTAACAGGAAAAAAAATTTAGATTTTGAGAATGTAAGTGCTTCTTCAGGTTGGAATTAACAGCTTCTTTTTCTTCTAGGCTAGGCAAAGAAAGGTGAGTGTGCCTGAAAGCTTATCTCCCCTCTCAACCTCCACCTATTATCAGGGGCTCTAGGAAAAGACATTTTTCAGTTTTGCATTTAAGCCAGAACGTTGCTGAGCAGTGATACTGCCATCAATGGTTCACAAGCTATTTTGAAGCAGTGGGAGAGGACAGACACAACAATAAAACCATAAATGTGTCCTTTTGGGGAAAGATGAGGAGTTTGGGCAGTGAGTGTTGTTGAGGCATCTGAGTGTTCCTGCCTGCAGCCTTGGCTGCACCCAGCCCAGAGCAGAGCTGCCTGTCCTGTTGTCATCTCCACGTGACAGAAGCAAGAAGGGCTGTGGATATTTCTCATCCTGCACCTGGTCTGGGACAGGGAGAGGTCCTGCCAGTGCTCTCTAATGCTGCACAGCCCTTTCAAGACTGTTTATAGCTGAGCAAGCAAGTTCTGTTTAAAATAAAACAAAAATGAAATTTCTGCTGCTAGATTTACTACCATCCTGAGATTGGCATTAAAATGGAGGTATATATATGTAACAAAATAATAACAATCCTAGGGATTTGAGTCTGTATATGCATTATAGTTTATGGAGGATGCTTCAGAGAAGGACAGCTGCTTAATAAATCAGAAATATTTTGAGTCATCAATATTTTGAGTTCATTTAAACTGAGTAAAGGGGAGTGTTCAAAACTGATTGCAATTCTTTACTGTTCTAAGTCACTTTGGTCTTTGCAACCCTTAGGTGTAGCTAGAAATGGTTCCTGAGATGTGCAACTTTTACCACATAAAATAATCTTGGAAAGATTGAAGTAATATCCCAATATTTATTCTGATAAATAAATGTTCTTTCTGCATCTACAAGGTAGAGTAACTGCAGGCAGTGGGTGTACAAGGATATTCACACCTACAGGATTAGGCTCACTTGACTGCACCTTATACTTTGTAATGCCTAAGGGAGGGTTGTTTATCTTGCCTTACCCACCAACCTCACTGCCTCTTGTTCCTGATAGCTTAATTAACAATTCAACTTGGAATGGTTCTTCCCACTGGGTTACAAACCTTGAAATTAAAATTGGATACAGTGGTCATAAGGCTCTTGCTTTAACAAATCAATATGTATGTAAAGGTGAGTATTTAAAAGGCTCTATTTAGAAGCTATGTCATTTCTTTGGAAGTGTAGCTGTTGGAATGCAGGTCTGGAGCTAAGAGAAAGAATGTTTATGTAGGTGATAATGTGCTTAGCTGTAGAATAAATAATGGAATAAACTTTTTGTCAGCATAGGTACTTCAGTGACTTTCATGGAAAGGTTTCAAAGCAGAAAAAATATTTTAATTAACTAATCTTTACAGCATGTTCTGATGTAGGTTTTATTCTTCTTATATTTTCATAAGGGACGTAGAAGCAGAAATGTACTAGCTTATAAAATCTTCTATGGTTTTAGACACAAATTGCCTGAAACTCAACAATTTAGATTACTCACCCAGAGTTTTGCTCATTTGGGTGTAAATGGTTTGTCAAAGGTGGAGTGGTAGAATTTGCCAAACTTAGCACGTAACATGGATAATTTCTTGTCACTTTAGCTTCTGGAGTTATGACTCCCTATTTTTGTTTGCAGGTGATGGACGATTACAGTGTGATTGGTCGTTCATTGTTTAAAAAGGAAACAAACATCCAGATTTTTGTGGGTCTGAAAGTGAAACTGTCTACAGGAGAAGATGGAATAATAGATGGTGGTTTTGGACAAAGTGGTAAATTCAAAATCCGAATTCCAGGTAGGTGTTAGCAGTTAACTAATAACAATCTATGTCCAGTGTAGAGGAACTTTCCATATTGCAAGGTGAAGTGCTAGCAGTGATCTCCTGAAGTTTTGAAATCAGCTCACACCCAGTTGGAGCAGTGATCTGGTGGGGCCTGTACCTCTTCTAATTACATGATGGTGGCTGTGACTTACAGTGTGAGACTGAATGGCCTGAAGCCACATCCCCTGTGTCAACAAACTCAGGTCTCAAAATGCCTTCTTGCTAAGTGGCACTAACACAGAAATCATGCTGTGCCCAGAGAGGTTTGTGGTAATCTCTCCTCTCTTAATGTATGAATGATTTGCACCAGAGCCCTTCTGAACAAATAAAAGAAAGCAAACCTGCAATCACTTTTACCTGTGGCTGCTTATTAAATATAGTATATTGGATGCAAGTTCCTTAAATTGGCTCTGTTCTGCATGTTATTACCTAACTTGCCTTCAAGCAAAAACTGCTTGATAAATGGGGTTTTGGACATCTTGAGAGTTTTTTTATTGCTCGTGTCTCCTGGTTTTATAATATTATATGTGACTGTATTTTTCATCCTTGGTGAATTACAGGAAGGATTTATGCCTCCTTAGGTTAGAGCATGGGAAATTATGGGTGCTAGAGTTTATAAGTGTCATTTATTGGGGTTTGTTTTTCCTCCTTCTTTTAAGGCAGGAGAGTAGTTCTGAGCCTTTTCAAAAGGCAGTAATAGGTGTTGCATTTAACTCAGATTGCAGGATAAGATTTTTAAGGATACCAGGCAGTACTTTTGTATTTCTGTTTTGTCTTCAGCCCATTTGTCACTAGTTAATCCCCCACCCTCTTAGGGAGATGAGCAAGATTGCTTCTGTTGAACAAGTGGAGAAAAGAAATTACAGTATTCTATGGCAGCAAACAGTCAACATAGCCATTGATGTTCAGAGAAAGGTGAAGTTTCCTGATTCCTTGCAGAAGATGGACTATCTTTGCATTTAATTTAGTGTGATGCAACTGCTCTAATTTTGACCCTCTGAAAGTTTCCTTTCTTCTTCCTATTACAGGATAAGGATTTCTGACTATATAAAATATCTCATGTGTTCTATCCTAGCTGTACTTCTAGTTTTGTAATCAAATGATAGATTTTGCAAATAGGTCTGAGAGCCTAATTAGCAAGCACACTTCACATTTAAAGAAAAAGGTTGCAGCAGGCGTGTGTTTACTTTCAGTTTTCTGGCATAGAAAACATTGTAGGGATTCACTGAGGTACCTTTAGGTAGGTGATGAAAGGATGCATAGATGATCTTAGAGCTGAAAAGCTGAAAATCAAGATGGTGTCTTGCTTCAAAAGGTAGTTATGTAATGTTCTTAGTAACTTTTCTCTCCCAGAGGCAAAAATCTGATGAACAAAAAGAACAGGAGGAGGGCGTTTACATTGCCATTTCTACTTTTTTGGATGGAGGAAATGGTTCTTCCTGGGACAGAGAGAAGCCTTATAAGGAGTCTCTGGCACCCTTTTGGATTTAAGCAGGAACTGTAATTGTGAACCAGCAGTTACATTAAGAAAATTGTATATAGATTTAGATAATGGCATTTTGCTCTGTCCATTAGGCTAGTGGGAAGAAATGATACCTTTCACCAAGGTGTTCATTATCTAATCTTGGTTACACTCATCAGATGTTCAACAGCAGACCTTGGAACAGAGGAGCCTTTATGGTTTATTCTTTCAATGAGAAGAATATGTGGCAGAATGCTAGAACTTAATACCCCTCTAAGGTAGGCAGAATAATACAACTTAGTTTGCTTTGCTTTAGTCTGGGTCAAACTTGGGTGCTCTTGTTGTCTGGAAAGAAAAGGCACTAAGTTAAATTAAGTCAGGTTGAGGGTATCAAGGAATGGAAAAGAAGCACAGAATTTGAAAGAGCGTAAAAACATGTCTCTTTAAGAGTTCCAGAGATTTGTGTGTAGGGGGAGGGCCATTGCTGTGATACTGCTTGAGTCAACTGCAGTTCACATTCCTTTGTTAGATCAGTGTTGCTTTTTTAATGTGTCTGCACCCTGTTTGTGAGTTGGTTTGTTTTTTTTTTTTTAATTTAACTGGTCAGACTTCTCTCTCCCTTTCCCCTGCCTCATCCTTCATCCTTGTCTCCTCTCATACAGTCTCTTTCATATTTTTTTGGGTAGACCTTTTTTTAAATTTTTCTAAAGTTATTTTTCTGTGATTCCTTCAGAAACGTATCAGGGAGTGGGAGGGAAGGAGAGGAAATGTCCAGGTTGAAAACTGCCTCGTACTGCGTCAGCCTGGCAGTCGTCAGCCCACTCATATTTAAAACCAGTCAAGCCCTAGAACTGAGTTAGCTTGTTGACCTGATGATAGCTGGTTCTAGAAACAAACCTCTCCATGGCAGTAAAATTCAAGGAGATGTGTCAGAGATTTGTGTCCTGACTACTAAAGGTGATAATAGACCATGGTACATCTTAGGGTGCTGCATGGTCCCACTGGTACCAACAACATCTCTCACATGAGCAAGTGTTGGGCTCCCCAAGTGTTCTTCCATGCTCTCTTGGAAATGGCTTGTGTTTGCTGTGGGTCAGACTGGGAACTTTGTCTTATGTCATCTGTGGGCTGAAAGTTGGCAGACCTCAGCTGGGAATGGCAGAATGTGGATCTGTTTCTTACTCTGGCACTGCTTGTGTGCAGCAATAAGTCAGATACTTCTCTCTGCTCTTCTGCTTTGTGAAACAGGGATAACTACTATCCATTCTGGAAAAAAACCCAAACTAATGAAATTCCTGATTTAGATTTATTCCAGGCTTAGAGCATTAATATTTCTTGAAAAGACATCATTATCTCTCTTTAGAGTACAAAAAGCACATCTAGAGTACAGCATGCAATTGGAAGTTCCTTAGTTGCTGAAAGATGTCAGTACTTTGGAAAAAGTTCAGGGAAGAGCAGCAAGAATGCTGGAGAGGCTGAAGGGATTGATTTATGAGGGAAAGAAGATGAAAAGAAATGCATGAAACTTGGCTAAATGATGTCTAAGTGGGAGATATTATTATCCACAAGTATTTGAAGAATATAATGGAGAAGAATCCCTTAGGGTGGTCCAAGGAGGTGGAAGCAAAGCTTAATAACATGAAATAAAGCAAAGTGTAACTTGACTATTGAGAGATGTTATTTAGCAGATGTCTTGCACTGCCAGATCATCTTTGCAGATGACGATGTATTCCAGTTTGACAATATTTATGTGTAGTTTGCCTGGATGTTTGCTAGTGCAGGGTAAAACAGGCAGGTAGTAGGATGGTGGGTACAATTTATTTTTCAGCTCACTTCTCTTTTTGTGTCCAGGCATGCTTTTACTGCTTGAATGACAAGGTATAACCTTTCTAGAATGTTTGCAGCAGCATCTAAAAGGAAAAAAAAAAGTGTTTCCTAGCAGATCTGTTCTGTAGGGCTCAGTTGTGGAGCTGTTTGTGCTTTAACTGAAGGCAAAGTTTCAAGGCCTGTTAATTGACAGGATGACGCTTCCTTTCCAGACTGGTTGCATGATCAAATGCATAAAAAGGGGACATAATCTCTAAACTCACAAGAGAGTTTTGTGTCGTTTAACAAGCTGCTTAAAAAGCAAACGGGGTTTGAAAGGCAGTTTAAACTACACTGCTTTTAAAGATATGCTTTGTGTGGATGAGGGAGCGAGCTACTGATGGGGCACTGCTTGCTGAGGTGGGTGATATGTGGCAGCTGTTTTAGTTGTAAATGGAACACTGTGCAGGGCAAATGAGTGAGAAGTATTGTTCAAGAACAAGTTTGGGGAGGCAAGGACTGTATGTTTAAGTGTCTTATTCTAAAGAAGATAAAAGCTAACAATGACAGTCTTTGGAAAATGCTCATTTCAACATACCTTGCACCAAGGAATGTTGTGCCAGTTGATAAGACATTTAGAGGAAAGTTCAGCAAATCATTTGAATAACCTAGTGCTAATTGTGGATTTTATTTAACTGTCTCTTACCCAAGAGCTGTAAAACTGTGCTTGGTTTGCAAAATCATGATCTGTTGCTGTGTGTCTTGACATCCTCTAAAAGATTGACTTTAGACATGCCCATTTCTTTGGTTTTGGCTCATTGCATTTGTCATGTGCTTGATTATTGTAAAATGTAGCAACTTTTAAAATCTAATTGGAGCATGTGTGATATCTCAGGCATGGTTCACTTTCCTTTCTGTTTTTCTGTCTAATTTCTAGATGAACACTTCATCTAGAAAGGATGAAGTGTTCATCCTTTCTGAGGCACTGCAAGGTGTCTAACTGCCATTCTCCTCTTTTTGACTAAAAATTGCTGTATGTGACTTAAAGAGTTACCTTATTTCTTAATGTGAAAGAAGCAGTGCATATCTAACACTCCTAAGAGCTGAACACATTTCTGAATTGAGCAAATTTAAATGTAATAAAAGACACTTTTCATAAGAAGAGATAAAAATGAGAATATTGGAGTACAAGCTTTGTGGCTTCTCTGTTCTTTTTAGCCATACAGGATAACAGGAGTTTTCAGTTTCTTAAAACAGGTGAAAACAAACTGGTTTATGACTTTGCCTTTTGTGGCCGGTAGCTTTTTGCCTTGCACTTGAGAGAACAAGTCCATTTCACTGTTTCCACTGCTCTTCAGGGTAAGAGGGATTGAATGTGCCCTAAAAGTCTGTTCTGAAGTGACAGCACAGATCTCCTCCCTCACCTCTGGGATCCTGCAGTGCTGGTATAACATTCCATACAGTGGTCAGAATTCAGCAAAGTGTCCTATTCTTCAGAATTCCTTGTATTCTTACATGTGAAATTAAGGGTAGAAATACAGAATGTTTCCCCCTCAGCATTTTGTGGATTTGGTGCATCTTTGGTGTTTGGATATTTTGCTGCTTTTTTGGATGAGATCCCTCACTGGCTTGCAAAGTACTTAATGACATAGTGGGAGAGCTATGATGTAACAGCTATACATGAACAGCACTACTCTGCATGATT